AATAACAAGTGGGGTTGTCTATTTAAAGGTACCCTTCTTCAATTTCCTTTCAAATATGGTGTATTATTTAAATTATCAATACTGTGGTTCATAATTCTCATTTCTAGGTGGCTTTTTAGCAAAATGGGCACTAGTACATAATTGATATTTGATTGTCCTCAGAATAATTGTAATAATGAGGGCGATGATGCTTGGTTAATTTAGGTGTTTTGGGTATAACATGTTATCCTTACCCTCCAAAGATACGCATTAGTAATTTTTCTTCTTGCCTAAGAAAAGTAGCGATAATCTATGATGCAATAAGTCTGGACAAGGGAAGGATCTACAAGATTCAGTTCAAGGCTTCACATAAGCACAACTTTTAAGTGTCAATTTGATTAAAATGGAAGGCATAGGCAGTTTTCAAATTCTAGTTCCTTCACAACAAGCTTGAAGTTTAAAAATTCAAATTTTAGAGAAGGTATTTGTTTTTATTAATAGGCTAGATTTTAAAATGAGGAATGATAGATATGAAATAAAGGCCTTTCATACTAACATAATCTACAACTAATAACGATTGACAATAGAGACCGCCAGGCTCTCAGAACTACTCCTATTGCTAAGTGCCAATAGAGTTTACAATGCTCTTAGGCTCCTCCTAGTCTTACCATATGAGTAATTGTCAACAAATACCCCCCAGCTTGATGCGTTGTTGTTTATTTGAAAAAAAGTTTGGTAGCAGCTAATAACTTTGGAGCATACATATTATTTTTTTTTTGGCACTGGACCCCCAGTTCCCAATACTTGAAATTAAAGGGCTGTAATCAGAAGGATTGACTATAGACTATGGTATAGTCTAGCTAGGCTATGGGCTCTCTGGCATTGACTTAGATTAGTCACTTATAGGAAATAAAATGGAGGTTGACTCTAAGAATGCTTATTTACTTTTTAATACATGTGTTAGCCTGCATCCTCACCATTATGGTGCCATAAAACTTCTTGCAGACACTTCATGAAGACTATCTTTATTGTAGCATCAGTCACATCTATGGAGGAGACTTCTATGAATAAATTGGCTGGATATACACTTGGGTTGCTGGAAGAAGTGCTTCTCTTCTCTTCTATGCCTTTGTTTTTTCAGGTCCCTTATTCTATGCAAGCAAAATAGGATTTGTCTTTAAGTGTAGATTGTTAAGGCCTACAAGTCCAACTAGGTCTTTCAAATTTATCAAAATTTTATTGGTGCTATTTTTTCAAAACTTTTGATGCTTTCTACTGTATTTTCTTGTGTTATATGATGCTTTCTTGTTTTAACTTTCAGAAAGTTGATGATATTCAATATTTCTACCAGTTGTTAAAACATTTCCATTTTTCCCTTTATTTGACATTGATACTATAACATATAGAGATACTTTAGCTTTTATGAAATGAATATCAAGTTGATAGAGTAATATAAATTTTTCTTTTTCAACTGGAACTTATTTGTAGTCAAAGGTTTCTTTGTCTTTTCTATATTAATGCTTTTCGATTGTATTGGAACTAAAATTCATTGCAGCCATTTTGAATATGTAGTCAGAATATATATACTCTTATTATCTTGATTTGCCTCTTTGATAATTTCTTCCAAGTGGAAATCTTTTATACCAAATTCTTGGCAAGCTTTTATTTCCATCACAAGTTTTATGGATAGAGTTAGAACATTTTAAATGACCATCTCGTTTATTATGATATTGGCAAGCTTGTATGCCCTCTACTTTCATTTGTTCGAGCCTTGTGGCTTGAGATTTTCATTTATTTTAGGATTTCATATGTTTGTGACTCATAAAGTCAGATTATAAATGTGAAGAAAAAGCAAAAATGAATTTTTTTTTTTTTGGTGTTTGAAAATTTTGGTAATATTCTTAATATTTTGCTTTAATTGGTATTGAAAATATTTAGTTTTGGTGTTTCAAAATTTTAACAAAGTTCTTAATATTTGTTTTATTGTTGAATGGCAAATCAATTATATAATTAATCATTTTAAATTAAATTTTTATTTTGTTTCTATTGATCAAATTTTCTAAAAAATGATTAGGATAATATGGTTGAAGGGTAAAAATTTTGGTTGATAATTTAAATACAAAATAATAAAAAAATTTAAAATAGAATTGGATTATAGTTATTTGAAATTTCTTGCACAATTCAAACAAAGAATTTTAGTAAAATTTGAAATTTTTTTAACTATCCAAACAAAAAAATTGAAATACATGGAAGATTTTAAATGTGAAATTTTAAATCTTAATTTCAAATCCAAATATACAAATCCAAACGCTACCCAACATTACTTCATCTCCTTTGCTCAAGAAGCCTTACAATTCTTCTTGGTTTTGGAAAGGCATTTTCTCATGTGCTGATCTTTTAGTTTCAAAGTTGAAATGGAAAGTTGGTTCTAGTACAAGCATCCCCCTCAAGAAACCGCTTTGATATCCTGTTGAAAATGCTCATAACACTTTAGATGCCAATTCTCTCAAAGTTTCAGATTTAATAAATGCAACCTCATTCCTCTGGTTGGCATAAGCATAAGTGGAATCATTGGTTACTCTACACCTTATACAACAATCGAACCACTAGAAATATACTGTGCATTCCTCTTCCTCTTTCTCATCAAGAGGATAAATTCATTTCGACAGGATCAAGTCATGGAGAGTATACTGTTCGACAAGGTTTCAAATTTCTTTCATCCCCAAGTAGTGTACAACTTCTTCACTCACATAATGCTATATAGAAGTTCATATGGAAATTAAATTTGCCCTTCAAATGCATTCACTTCATCTAGAAACTCATTTATAAAGCACTTCTATTTGGCGATGTGCTGGATGATCATCATCGCTCTTACAATTTATTGTGTTCTTTTGGATGCTTTACATCTGAAACTCTAGATCGTATTTTCGCTTTGTGTGACTTCACTAGATCACTTTGGTTTGTTTGCTTGAACATTATGACATGTTCATTTTCGTCTGTTGATCTTATCAATTGATTATTGCATATTTTTCATCAACTATATGTAATTAACTCAATTGAACAAATTACCCGTATTATTGTCTTTTTGAACTTATTTTGGTAGGCTAGAAATCAGCTCATTCACTAGGGAATTCCTCAATGTTCTGCCAGTTTTATTAGACCATTCAACAACCATAGATTTGTATTACAAAATGTTTGCTAATGGGATGTGAATTCTCACTTTGAGATAGCTCCTCAGCATATACGTCTTTTACCTCTATCGATAATGGTTTGTACCTTGCCATATTGGGATCTTACTTGATGATCAATTCTTGCATGGGGTTTACGGTTAGGAAGCAAAATCACAATTCAAATCTTTTTTTCCTTTGTCTTTGCGTTGCTATAAGGTGGGTTTGTAATTTACACTTGAACTATGGTCCATTTAGTTTAAGCATGAAAGATTTATGGGAGAATTACAATCGAATTACAAGTTGTCAATACAGTTTACTTTAATTGTTAATGAATCTTATAGTAATTAATTTTTTGTATAGAACTTTAATGTAATTCTCCCAAAATCTATTGCTTCAAGAGAGGTTACTTCAAGAATATCCTCTTGAGCAGGGAAAATATGGATGTTGTGATTGAAGATCTGCGTGTCTTATTTGTCTCATTTCAAGAGAGATTACTTCAAGAAGGTCCTCTCAAGTAGGGAAAATATGGATGTTGTGATTGAAGATTTGCGTGTGTTATTTGTCTCATTCCAGCCTCTAACCCTTCAAGTTGTTTAAGAATATCTTCTATTCTATTTTTGGTTTTTCTCCTTGGTTTTGTAATGTTTATTATGTAACTTAAGCATTTCGTTGTATATTTTATTTTTAATATGTTTTTCTTCTTTAAAAAAAGAATTTTGTATAGAAATACCTAAAATTTTCAAGGGAGAATGGCAGGGAGGGTCTCAGAGGAGAAAAAATAGCAGAACACAACTAAATGCTCATCTATTCATAAGTAAATCAATAAACCTATATTTGTGAATAAATGAACTTTTAATTATATTCGGCCCTCACTGTAGATCCTTGCGGCCATTCTCCAGTTTTTTCAAGCATTAAAACCAGCAACTACAAAATTTATTATTATATAAATGCCACGTAGGATGCCATCAGCGTCCGGAGGTTGGGAAATGAAATTGGAGGACATTTTTGTCATTGCGAATTCATTCCATCATTGTCGGAATCTGCATCTTCGTTCCTCCCATTTTTAAAAGGAATTTATGATAATTCTTGGAAATGAATTATGGATAGGAATGTAAGTTCCATGCAAAGAGATAAATATGTTTAATATGTCATAAAAAGAAATAATATTTGAGTTTAGTAGGACAATAATATTTATAATAATTTAAAGTATATTAAAATAGCTTTTCTTAATTTTTTAAATCATTAACATATTTTACAAAATTTAATTGTCTTAATTTCTATAAAAAATTTAATTACCTTAATTTCATACAAATATTTTATTTATAAAATATTACTTATGTTTATTATGAATTAAAAACACGCTATTTTTTTAAAATAAACCATTTTATTTACTACTCATAATCAATATTTACTATAAATTTTATATTTTATAATAAGGAATTGCATGATGATTATATTATAAGTGTGACGTGGACGATTATTTTGAACTCCACAGTATTTTCCTTACAAATATACCTTGCTTTGCTTATATAAATAGCAAAGAGAACCTTCTTTGGTCAGTAATTAGAAGGAATATATTATAACTATAAGAGTGAGTTTCCCGAGCCGCGATGTTTCTAGAAATTAAAAAAATGTTATGGTCAAGAAATCTAATCTTAGCTTAAAAAGACAGACTAGTCGCCATGTAAGACTGGCTTGACCATGGACCGTGGTTATAAGTTCAACAAGCAGATCGACGCCACAGAATAGAGACACGTCATTCTCGTAGGATCGTTGCACCGTTAAATTTATCACACATAATTTACGCCCCCCCCCCCCCCCCCCCCCTCCCTCTCTCTCTCTCTCTGCCTTTTTCTTCACATTTTTATAGAGAGGAGAAAAGAAGAAGCAGAGTTTGGCTAAAGCTCTCTGAGCTGTACAAAGCCGTGATTTCCAACTCAGTAAGATCTGCTACTCTTTCTCTCTCTTCCTCGTCTGCACTAGCCGTGGATCCCTTGGACATCGTCTTCGGCTCATGAAAAAGCTGCAGAAATAGAAGTATTTCTTGATATTCAGCTAAATTGAGGTTAGTTCCATTTTCACTTTATTTCCTCAGTTCTTCTTCCCTTGGTTGCCTCCTCTTCTTTAGGTTCATATAAAACCAGTCAACCTTTTTGTTTTTCTTAGTTGAGTGTGATGCTTTCTGAAAGTTTGTTTCATTGCTGTGTTGTTTACATTTGAACGTTGATCGCTAAGAAAAGGAACGAGAGAGTTTTAAAATTTTCTGTATGCATTACTATTAGACATCAACGAACTTAGTGTGAGTCCTATGGAGTAAAATGTTTGACGCCATTGTATTTGTATTGGTTTTTTTGAATTAAGTGCGTGAATTATCACGAGTTTAAAAGCATGAAGTTTTTACTCTGTTCGCCGGTTTTACTTTTCGAGCAAGTTATTGAAGTTTGATGATCATGTCTGGTAAGAAATTTTGATTAAGTGAGCGTTGTAGGATTTTTCTGTAATATGACTATCGCTCCGACTTGACAGAAGAAGAGATGGCGAATCGACTGAAGGAAGATGAGAAAAATGAGCGAATAATTCGAGGTCTTCTCAAACTACCAGCGAATCGCAGATGTATTAATTGCAACAGTCTGGTAAAATAACTCTCATGTGCTTCTTACACGATTTTAGTAGTCAAAAGTCATTCATGTGATATTTCCATTTTTCATTGCCTTGATATTTTATTGATGAAATTGACTTGAAGTTGCTGTATTCAGCCAAACTCTGTAATTCTGTAAATTATCACCCAATTTATTGCTACTGATAATATACAATGGTGGAACACAAATAATACATTGCGGCAGGTCATTAAGATTATGCCGTTTCCTCTTTAGTATGTTAGAATGTGCTAAAATGGACAACAAAAACACTGACAGGGCAGTCAGCAGGAGCCAGGAGTTTTAAAACTCTTCTCCAACGTGTGCCAAAATAGGTTCATAAAATTTCTATTTTGTGTTTTTCTTCTTTAGGAGTTACAATTAGTTTACTGCTTTTAACTCACATTGTTTCGGTGGTCTGTGGACATATTTGTTTTAATTTCTAACCAGATCCTTCTAGAAATAGCATTGTGCCTGATCCATTTCACTAATACCTGTTTTTTCTCTTTTTCATCCAACCAGGGGCCGCAATATGTATGCACAAATTTCTGGACATTTGTTTGCACAAGCTGTAGTGGAATACAGTAAGCCCTTAGCTCCTTACAATATTTTTTGTATTCTGTATTAGTCAAGTTTCTAAAAGTAGTTACCATAGTTTCCGAATACTACATGTTTCTATAGTGTATGCAGGCCTGCTCTGCTGACCAGAATCACTCATTGTAATGGACTTGATCTTTGTCATGTGCTTATGGTTTGCATGCTTTTCATGTATTTTACTTGAGCTTCTACTTCAGCTATGTCTAAGGCATGCTGCCTTATTCTGTGTGAATAAGTACATTGTATAATCTTCTGTACTGTGGAGGTGAAGATAGTGTTTTCTTTCTGCTGAATGCATTGTACCTGAAAGTGAATTACTTTGTGTGTCAATTTCCAGCCGAGAATTTACGCATCGAGTAAAGTCAATATCAATGGCCAAGTTCACCTCGCAAGAAGTTAGTGCACTTCAGGAAGGAGGGAATCAGGTATATAGGCTTGTTTGTACTTATGGTGCACTTGAGGAATTCCCTTTCATTGGTTGATTTGGCTGTATTTAATTCTTGCAGCATGCAAAAGAAGTTTATTTTAAACAATGGGATCCTAAAAGTTATTCTCTCCCTGATAACAGGTAACTAGTTGCTTGTAATCTATTATACTTGCCTGATACGTTGTTCTGATTGGCATGTTTGGTGCCAGTAATGTTGGCAGGCTCCGCAACTTTATTAAACAAGTTTATGTGGATAAAAGATTCACTGATGAGAGGACCTATGACAAATCACAGAGAGTAAATACAGTAAAGTCTCATTTGTCCCCAGTTTGAATTCACTATTTTTGGAATAGATAAAACATTTTGTTTAAAATTGAACGTTAACAAGTACACTATTTTACTTTATAAATACCTGGAGCCTTTCCATTATATTACGTCTCCTCTCTTGCATTGCATGTTGTCCAGGGTGACAAGGATCATTTCTCTGAAAACTCGAGAGTTCAATCATATCAGGGTGGTCCTAAAAACCCACCATGTGATGACACATATAAACACCAATATAGTGACAGCTCTAGTCTAGGTGGAAGAAGTCCTGGGCATGATCAAGAAAGTAGGGAGTATAGTAATGAGAAGAGAAGTCTTAGTCATCCTCCAATTATCAACGATTGGCGCCAAGAAGATAGAGTTGGAGATGAGAGGAGGTTTGAAGGTCGTAGAGGATCTGATGGAGATTATAAGCTGGAAGACCAATTGCCTGGGCAAGCCAACAACCTAGATTCTTCAAGTCCACCTGTGGTTCGGTCTGTCAGAGATATTTTGGGAGAAAATGCAGTTCCTCTTCAAATAAATGGAACCCCTGAAACAAATAGTGGAAAAGCTAATGATGGCTTAGCTCTCACACAGGTGAAATTATTATTTGTGATGTTCCTTATGATTCAGCCATTTGGGCAATCTTGCTGCAAAGCGTGCTGTTACTGTAGAGTTTGTTAGGTGTTAATCAGTGCTAAGTTGTTGGCAACAATTTGTTAGCATATTAAAGTTGATCATTAGCTTTCAACATCTCACTAGGCTATATATTTTAGGAGGCTTTATTTTCCCTTTTAACTTCTTCGTTCAACTGTATTCTATATTCTGTTATATATAAAGGGCTAAGAATTTCATGGCTGACAACTTGTCCAGTGACATTTAGTAGGCATTTCTTCCCTTTTAATTAGGAGTGAAATTTTACCCAACAGAGATAAACTGGTTGATTTGTGTTTAAAATGGATGAGGCTTTGTTGCATTTAAATGGATTATGACATTTTGTTATGCATGCAACTGTATTTCTTTTGTGTAACCATGCAGTAGGCAGGATGCTTTTGGTTTACCATGTTTACCATGTGGTATGTATGAGTTCAATATTATATTTTAGTCTTGAACACTGAAATTCTAATGTCACCCAACTGTATACACGCTCAAAATTGAGGCAGTTCTTTCTTAATAAATGCCTTTATTTCTACATTAAAAAAATTGTTTATTTTATATCCTGTTGGTTACTAGTGGATTTATTGTCATCCCTGAATGAGTTGATCTTTTCGTTTACCATCTTTAAAAAATTGGAATTATGAATTAGCATGAACACTAACTATTCCCTCATTCCCTGTTATTGCTGTATTTTGACATCTCATTGTCTTTTTCTCTCTATTGTATATTTGTATTGGGGTGCTCAATAATGATTTTAAATTGTAAATTATATGACCATAGCTGACTGCTTATAATTGCAGAGGACTGTATCTTCCAGTAGCTTCGCATCCAGCATTGGAAACCCTGCAGAAGTTAAGCTTGAGACTACTAAGAGCCTTATTGATTTTGATGATGAGCCTGAGCCTCGGGTAGCTCCAGCAATTATTTACACCCAACAAACTACCACACAATCCATTGCAGAGCAACCAAATTCCAGAGATGACAACAATTGGGCCTCTTTTGATGTGACCCTAGAAGCAAAAGCAACTCAAACTCCTTCAAATGTAAATGCACTGGAATCCATGCTTTCCCAATTGTCAGTATCATCATCATTACCGGCTCATGCTCCTCAAGTCCAACATGGTTCCAGTGTTGTAACACCTGTTCCTGGGAGGAGTATGACATTACAAAGAACTGGGAACCTATCATTTTCACCTGCTGGGCCTGCACCAGCACCATCTCTTACTGCTACTGCCGTTGGAGCTGCAACTATTAGCAGCTTTGCGACTTTTCCATCTGGTGGTTCTTCAGCATTGCAGCATCCACAGCCTTTGTTCCCTCCCAATGTTGGTCAGTCTTTGACTCATCAGTCTACACCACAACCAATAGGAGAATCGAATAATCAGGCATGGCTTATGGAAAAATCTTATCTAACATTCTGTTTATGCAGATGCAATCTTTGTTCACTTTCTTGTTTCATGGAAATATCTTGCAGCCATGGAGTATGCCTCCAGCTCCAACAATACATGGCCATCCGAGCATGTCACTGCCACATGTATCCCATCTTATCTCTAAGCCTGCCACTGAGACTAGCTCCAGTGCTGCTCCAGGACTGTCTGTTGAAGTAAAATCAAGTGGAAGAAAAGAACTTCCTGAGGTACTCTTCCTTCTTGTTTTACTTCAAAAGGCATCTACTCTGTACACTTGATGGATGTGTGTAATGTACAGTATTACTTACAATAGCTTATAAATTTCTGCAGGATCTTTTTACTGTAAAGTATTATTGCTTCCCTGCTGCAGTTCCAGGATGGCATATGGTCCCACCTCAGGGCAATGGAATCTCAATGCCATATAATACTGTGGTAATGCTATTGCAATCCAACTGCATGTGCATACAGGTTTATTCTCTTAATCTGCAGCTTATGCATTTGTGTAAGCATTTCTCATATGAATGCCTACTCTCTGTTACAGCCCATGCCAAATCTTCAGCGACCATCAAAATCAACAAACCCATTTGAAATTGGCAATGAACCACTTCCGGTTCAAACAACTGTACGTGACTTCTGTTATTTTAGAACAATAGTGTTATACATAATATCTTAGACCTTTGAAAACTACATAACCTTATCCATGTATGGTAGGTCATACATGATATTTGAATGAACCCACTGATTGCTGAATGGGGATTTGCTTCTTTTACCATTCATTTGGATGGGGAGAAAAATAAAGAGGAAAGAAAACTGACGGAAAACTCCTAAAAATAGTAAAAAAAATTTATTAGTTTTGAAAATTTCTCTTCCTATTTTTCTTTCCTCCATATTTTCTTACGACTTTTCCCTTCATCCAAACCAAGCTTTCTAGTACAGTATAGGTTTAGAGAGGACAGTAATTTTGAATAATCGTTTGTGGAAGATCAGTGGTATGGTTTGGGTTTTGTCCACCATTGAGTCATTGTTCTAGAAGCTTTTATTTATTTTTTTTTAACTTTTTGTTACTTGTGTGCATTAATTTAGGAGAATCCTGCACTCTAGAGGAGCATGCCTATTAATGGTTTGGTGATTGTGTGAAAAGTATTCTTTGTTTTCTTTATGATCATCATGCATCTATTAAGCTGGAACAAATTTGTCATGCTGACATTCTAATGCGTCACTCCGTGTATGACATGAAAAATCTGGATTTCAAAATCTGTCTTGTCTGTTTATGGTGAAAATTTTTATTATAGTTGTGGGTCAATGCTTTGTATGGACTTTTAAGTAAAGTGCACTATTAATGGGTTATAAATAATGCAGCTACCTAAGATTTTGTATTTATATGTAAGGGTGAATGACATTTAAGGCCCTCTCAAGAGAATTTATCACAATAAGGATTCATAAAATTTGGATCGAATATTGTTTTGTGAAAATACATATGTGTTGTTAAAAGCTAAACCTTAACTATATTTTCAGCTTTTAACAACAACATACACGTATTTTCACAAGACAATATCTGATATAAAACTTATAAGTCTTTATTGTGATAAATTCTCTTGAAAGGGCCTTAAATGTCATTCTCCCTATAAAGAAACTAGTTAATCAGCTTAATTTTATCTGTGTAAAAAAAAAAAAAAAAAAATTGGCTAATGCTTTTATAATTGGTGTTCCTTGTGTGTAGTTTCCTTCGAGATCATCCTTGCAACGTGGTCTGCCAAGTGTATCAACTTCAGGTTTAATGCTTCCTTCAAGCCTAAGTAATCCATCACTTGCATGGAATCCGCACGGGTATGGATTAGTGCAGCCTCCACTAACACAGCCTCATCCATTAGCAATGGCACCAAGTACATTAATCCATCCATCATTCTTCTGTTGATTATTTCATGATTCATGCTGAGGCTATTCCACTTTTTCCCCCACTGTATGCTGACCTGTGTTTTGAAAACCTCAGGGCCTTACACGGGGCAACAAGTGCGAATGAACATGGCAATGCCAAGGTAAAACTATTTGGTTATGATGATATTTACTTTTTTTTTCCCCGTTCTCTGGTACCAATGTGAGTTTAGGAAGCATACCTGTCAGTTGCACGGGTAGATACGGACAAGGGGAGTTACTTGAACTCAGTTTCTGGTTCACAGTGAATGCATGAAAGAGAAGGGAAGAGAGAAAGATGTTTTTTGCTTCTGGATGCAGAGTGAATAAGTCAGCTTTCACTATAGCCTCATAGTGCATGGAACTCCCATGCACTCAGGTAGTTTTGGGACGTGCATGTTGCTGAAAAGCTGTACCCACTCATTTTTCAAATAAAAGGGAATATGGCACTCAAGAACCCTAGTATCTCATTAATATATTGATAAGTCCCCATCTAACAACGTGAACTTGGGTTTAGGCTAAAGCTTGATCCACCAAGACTGCTAAACCCAAAACTCGCCTACATAAAAAGTCACATTTTACAGGGAACAGTTAATCTGTTAGGTATAATGCTTGTAGAGAGTCCTGGAAGAACACTTAATTTGTTAGGAATAGTGCTTGTACAGAGTTCTGGAGTTTTTACTACTAGTCTTGGTCTGTGAAGTGAGGATGAATTTAACTATACAACAAGCAGTCTTATCCCACTAAGTGAGGTCGGTTACATGAATTGTACCACACAATTGTGCTTTACATTTATCAAATTTTTAGAAATGTTAATTAAGAGATCTCAATTAATAACTTTTTAAAATTGTTCTCTTTAGTTTTCTTTTACTTCTTTTAACAGAGTTCAAAGTTATATTTTTCACTCTCCATCTGCCTTCCACAATATTTTTTGTACATATTCCAATTATCTCAAATGATTTTCTATTATTTTCCCCCCAATAGGTGCTACACATTTTTTCTCGTATGTGCTTATTTCTAATTTTTTCTTTACGTATATATTCGCACATTTATCTCAACATTCTTATTTCTGCTGTTCCAACTTTAAATATATGGTTGTAGTATTAAATCTCATAATGGCAGTTTGGGATTTTCAAATCAACTTCATGTGCAGGCATCAGCATCAGGAAATTCGGAGCTTTGGTGCCGAGGGAGCTGCTTTTGGCTTCACAAGCTCAGATCAGCATCTGACTGGTACATTCTCAGCCCCTCCTTCCTCAAACCTCTCTTCTGCAGGAAGGAATCCATTTGGATGAAGCCAAGAACCTAATCTTGTTGCTCTCTGTACAAATCGTCAGAGAGGTTTGTGGTTTTCCATTTTCTGTCAGTTAAAAGCCAATCACTCAGTGTGAATAGTGATTTTCGTTGAGGGTCAAAGTACAATATCTCCCTCGGTCCTGTAAATTGTTTATAACATATTGAAAGTAGCGTAATAGGAGTTGGGGAAAATCATAATTAAAAACCTGTGAGAATCAATAACCACCATTGAAAACCATAAAATCTTGAAATTAAATTCTAGGGTCCTTTTTGCAGTTTACAAATTGTTGTTGCAGCTAAAATACCTGTAAAAGTGAAATTTACATTTCAGACAGGAACGTTTTAGTCAAAACATAATTTTTTAAACGACAAAAGAGGACCATGATCCAAAAAATCAATTTTAACATTTTATGGTCTTGAATAGTTATTACTGATTTTTGCCGGTTGTTAAGTGTGAGGAAAGAGCAAATGAAACTCTTCTGTTAAATGGTAAAATTATACTCCCACCCTCCTGTTGGTGCAATTATGCACATTTGCAATGGTAGCCTAGATTGTGCTGAGCAGTTGTGTTGTATGACTTTGTAACCCTTGTATAATTTTACATGATGTATAATATAGCGCGGCCAACAAATTATAGTCAACTACAAATTTCTTTTTTCCCACTACAGTATACCTAAGTCCATTCCTATGTGGATAAAATACACAGCAGATCCTGGAAATCCACTTTTTAAACGTAGAATCACTATTCTATGTGATGAATGCTGCCAGGGGGCATAGTGCTGCACCCTAAAAAAAAATTCCTACAATTCGCTGCAACATCCTTCTCACCTTGAGACGCTAAAACGGGGGAATTGAAACATGAGGTCAAATAACCTTAATTCACTTGAAGGACCTTGGTCTTTTTTGTCCTCCAATAATTTGACCTCATGGTCCTGAACTTCCCCCGATAAAACAGGCTTCTTTTTAGGCCAGGAAACCAGCAATAAAACTCCTTTAGCAAATTATGATGAACCATCCATGGTTGAGAAGAAGACTGCAAGCATATCCTCACGTGGAAATGAATCAGATCCCATCAGAATAATATGTGAAGATTGCCCTGTATCCAGTGCTTCTGACGGATAATTTCCTTCCTGGCAGAGCTGGATTTGATCATCCAAATCTTCAACCTAAAAGGGAGGATTAAAAAAAAATCTCAACTAATATGAACGTTCCTATGTAGAATTAGTTTGTCGGCTCTTCCATACGACAGGTGCCACCACTATCCATACTGTCAGAAAATAAAAAAAACTCCTTATTAGAATGCATTAAAAAGTTCATACGGATTGACTAAAGAATTAAATCAAGATATATAAGCTCTAAGTCCCTATCAAATTGACTTGAACTATTTTGATAGAAAGACAAACCTAATATATATCTAGATTAACTAAGTTCAGTATAATATTAGAGTCATCTGATCTTGGACATGAAATTTTTTTTTTTTTTTTTGGTGAGTACAAGGAAAGGCCCCGCCAATAGCAAAGAATGTCTCCTGAAATACTTAGAATAATAGGTAGACCACTCGAACTAAATTGTTATATACACAAGGGTTAAGATTTAAATCTTAACCACTTAAGTGATGAGAGTATTTATCACTCATCAATTTTAGTGTATAAAAATTAATATTTTTAATCATGTGCCTTGGCGCTTGGTAACGAGTTAGTACATTGCAGCTCTCGATGAGAATGTATAATTCCTGGGAATCAAAGATACTTACAGTATACAGAGACTGCGAGCCATTCATTTACAATTCTGACCCAGGTGCTGGTCCAGCCCACATCAATTGTCCATCTGCAGAGGAATAAAAAAGCATTAAGTGTTATTTTATTTCCGGATCCTTCATGAATGCTCTGAAGGAGCTTTCTTTTTTGTTTTATTTTTTTTTTTATGGCCAACTGAAGAAGCTTTCAATGAGTGTAACATGACATTGGTTCAAGTACATTTACGTCAGTCGCATTATTGATGGCCATTCTAGTGTTGTAGTGGAATCTAGAACTAAAACTTGACAGCAGCTACATTACTGCTGGGTACAATCGCCACTAAAGTAGAGTATATGATTATTTTCCCAAAAAAAAAAAAACCGTTTATGCTGTGCATTAAATTAGTAATTAAATAGACCAACCATAAGAGGGGACCATACTTCCTCATTACATGATGACTATTAGTATTCCATCCGATCAATAGCATTGCGAAGTACATAGCTCCTGTGGCAAACACAAAATGGAAGAAGCCATAACCATAGGGAACATCATCTTCTGCTGGTGGCGTATCATCCTTCCTGAACTGCAGAGATGTGTCAGATATGCACCGGAGGGAACCTCCTTCAAAAGTGCAAGTCCAGTTCAAATTATGTAACTAACCTGAAAGCATTTGGAATCTATGCCCGTTGAGAATGTAGCAATGACGATAGCTAGTATTGCAACAATAAAGCTCTGTCAACAAGAACCATTTTTCTCATGTCAACAAAGTCAATATACACACACTTTTTACCAAGCTTACAACTATAATACTAGAACTAAGTTTAAATAATCTTTTGAGTGCATGAATTAATATTTACAATTATGCTTAACCAATCTGTTTTGGCTTCAGTGTCTGACTTTCTGATGCAGTTTTCTCCTGCTGGTTCACTGCAGGCACATACATGACCAAAATGTCAAATTCATCAGAAATCAAGACGTAAATCTAAGGGATTATCTGAACAATGCTCGATCTCTATTATAAAGTAACTATTTCATTGAAATCAAGGAGAGGTAGTTAAGTTATTAACTTTATTTGAAAATAAAATAAACTTTCAATTTTATCACTATTTAAATGGAAACTTTTTAAATTTGCATTACATTTTTTTTTCTCATAATCAATAAGTTTAAATACGGATAATATTAAAAAAACATAATTATTACCTTATTAAGTTCCTTATATTAAGGACTAAAAAATCGTTCTAGAAGGCACTCTATAATAGAGACTGGAGGGAGTAGAACAGAATAAAAGATACATATGTTTCACTAAAAGAATTTTCCAGCATGGAGAGGGATCATTGTTAGGTAAGACAAAAAGCTCAAAACTATAGGAGAAAAGAAGCAGCCATGCCTTCTAACGGCACACCAGCAAAGGAATACAACATAAAGCCCCATCAGACCTGGAGTTAGAATACCAGCATTCACCTATAACAGTGAAATTTAGAAATTCCTGTTAAGTTATAATGTAAAATGAATAGAACCAGCAAAGACCCTGATTGAAGTAGAACTTACTTTTGGGTGCAGAGACACATTTGTCATCAGTTGGAGAAGCACTAATGTCCAAGTGATGAAGAAAATGTTGAGCAGGCAAGATGGTTGTGGTGCATACCAAATGTACATCAAAATGATCCCCACCAAGCAGATAACATACGCAGTAGTTGCAAACAATATCACGTGAATTTGGCTGCAAAACATTTATAATTTAAGGCGTACTAGAAATAGAAATGATGTTATCCTAAATTTATCAACTTGTATTTGTATGTCAACCTATACAAATGGACTGGACAATTAATGCACAGCAGACAGCTTAATAATTGTTATCCCATCCTCACTACTATTTTGTTTTATGAATAAATTAGCATTTATTCCCCTAGTTAGCCCACTCTAGACAGTTGAGAGCTTCAATACCTCAAGAAGGAATCATTAGTTCATTAATAACAAATTACCGAAGTACTATGTCTTGCTTAAATGTTTAACAACAAATTCCACCGTCAAAGTATACAGCTATTCCATTAATCTCAAGTACACTGTTCATGCACAGGAATTATTAGTTCATTAACCGAGAAATTCTTACCATCGGTCTGCATATTTTTCAGACACGCAACAATCATTCAGCCATGTAATGAAGCTGATTATGCTTACTAGTTGAATTAGGAGAAAAACCCTGGGGAAAAAAGAACAGATATCACTTCAGGAAATGATATTGATGAAAATCATTTATACAAGGTACAAACTTACCCGGCACCAAAATGAGCAATCTCCCCTGCCAACAAAATTGCGACAGAAAAATAACAAAGGCTATATTAGCGACATTTATTATGACAGGATGCAGTAATACTAAGAAGCTTATTGCAAATATACAATTTACCAACCGTATAGCTGAATAAATGCAGACGGAAGTAAAAACGGGAAGACTGTCATGGCGACCCAGAGAATCAGCTTGACCGTCCACCACCCAGAGTGCCATGAATCCCTCGGTTCGTTCAATTTAGAAGTGCCAGCGGTTGAAAAAAACATCGTGATAAAAAATATCTGATCTAGGATTAAGGATCACTACGGAGACTTTAAGACTAACTCATTGAGCTAAGTGGCTAATGATTGCACTCTTTGGCCAAGAGTATTCGTGATTTTTCTATTCACTAAGTATAAATGGAAATAAATTGGTAAGTCATTATGATGAATGAATATGGGAATACGGCATTTTAAAAAAATAAAGAAAGAAAGAAAGAAAAAGGAAGCGGATGGTAGGTTATTGTTAACAATAGTGCTACCAGGAATAGATTAACATATACTGTGTGAAAAATAAATAATATTGTATTCACTCATTGAAATTTTGTTTTTGTTTTTTGTGCTTCCGGATATTTGTATTAAATTTCAAAGCATTTTAAAGGCAAGGCGACCTTGTTGCCTCCCTTTATTTATACGAGCCTTGTGGAAATCATCAACTATGCTTCTTGCTTAGGATACAAAACAACCGAAGCTCACGCGCAAAACACCATCTGCACCCAAACAGCCTTTCCCACCATCGCATCCTTGGAACCCTGCAATGTGTAAATATGACATTTTGAGCTATTTCCATTATAGGAATGCAAAAGGTTCAGATGAAAACGACTTTAGATGGAGCGGAAATTTTTGAGATTAGTAAAAAACCCAATTTACTAATTTTGAACATAATGCTTTTCATGATTTTAGAAATATAACACTGCCTTCACCACTTCCGTCATCAAACAAAGTATCATAACAACCATACATCAAGATGTTCAATGGTTGTGAGCTTCTGAGAGTTGATCGCATTATTTGATTAATAGAAAATCGGCTCTAAGATAACGCATGCGCCAAGATGAGATGTCAGAATTGCAGGCCTAAATTCACCATCTCATGATGCAAAATCTTTCTATCCACATATTTAATTAAAGTAGTAATGACATATTCGAGCATGGGAACTGATCTGATACCGCGAGAAGCAGCAGTAAGCTAGATGTTATGGTGATAACTAATAACGTGATAGGTAATAAAAGTTAAGACACTCCAAAAGATTTAGACAATCTTACTTTCCATTTCGGTCAAAGCACCACGAGCATAATCCCTGGCTGCCCATGCCAACAGATTTGCGACTAGAAAAATCAATCCGTAGGCATATCTTGCCATCCAAGGATTCGATGCATTGCGAAATTGACTGAACCAGGAAAAGTCCTTTGATATGGTGATGCCAGCACATCTCTCGTTACGAGTACTGCTGCTTGGTCCGCTTTCCATCTCTTCTTCAACGCATCGTTTACTGAAAAGCATCAGTAGAACCTTTCGTTCTAATAAGATCTTCCGATGATGCCCTGAAATGCAGAAACAAACTTGTCTTTATCATGGGAGATACATGACTGTTTTAGCTGTGCATAAACTGAAACTGAAGATTTTAATAAACGATTCAAGTGTCTTCACGTAACTGACGGAATAATACTCATTTCGTTAATTCTCAACAATCGTAGAATTTTCGGCCAAGTGTGTACCTATAAAATGAGTAAATTATAATAACAATCTTATCTGTTTCTCTTGCCAAATCTTCGCTCAAGCTCTCATTTCCAGTAAGTGAAGCGGTCAACTGTAATAAAAGATAATAATTCTCACTGTCTTCTTTGAGGGAAATAAAAGTTAATAACTCATAATCAACGTCGCCACAACCAAATCGACGACGATAGCAATAAAGAATGTTTACTCAAAATAAAAAAAGAAGTTTCCCACAAAATCCACACAGAATGAGTCGATAGAAGATTCCATAGTTCAACAAAGTCCTACCCATCGAAAACTGATTTCTGAACCTCCAGCTTTCAGGAGAAGGTGGTAAAACTCACCCAAACATTATTTCTATGAGGTTCAAAATGGAAATGACACTTCAAGCCTTCCTTAATTGTTTTTCAAACAATCGATAAAATAAAATACACGAAGACGAAATCAAAATCAGAACTCTGTTATCAGCCCAGGCATTTCGTTTGGAAGAGTCAATGTAATGGAGTGATTCGTTTCCTTTAACTCGAAGCAAACGTTCAAATTATGGTTTGTTTACTATTTCCAATTCCGTCGGCAAACAAAACATCCAAAGTTTGAATCGTTCGTATTTCATAGGCATTAGGCAGTTCCATTAACAGTTTTTTAAAGGAAAAAAAAAATCTACTCTGTAATATGATGACATGCAATCCAAAGGATATGAAATTTGAAACAGATCATCCAGCAGAATAGCCATAAAAAGCAACGATAATACATCTGCGACCCGTTATGTCCTTCTTATAGACCAAATTTATAAAAATACTTCTACGAAACATTAACGGAATGCTAAGCAATACAGTCCTCGGCTACCCCAAAGCAAATGCAGAATCAATAATCAGAGCTAGGAGTGACTGAATTAAAGAAAGAGTAAACTAACAGAAATTAAAACCTTGCAATGGAGTTCAGAATCAATAACCGATCAGGCAATACAAAACGCGATCAATGCTTTGCCAAAAAAGAAAATCAAATCTAGAGGAGGAAGTACTCAAGAGATGAAGAACAATGCCGGTATGAAGAAGCCGAAGACGCAAGCGAACACTGAATCATTATTTCTGGAACAGGCTTGCTTCACTTTTCCATCACTACCTCTCTCTCTCTTCTTTCTTTTGAAAGAAAGAAAACAATCAGAGAGAGATAGACTTGTGGATTTCTTTGTGCTTTTAGCTCTTTTAATAATAATTAAGGGAAGTGTATGTATTTAAGTGTGGATATTGCCTTTTGGTTTTTTTTTGGCTCAGCATTGTATGCTTTTTTTATTTTTTATTTTTTATTTTCCCGCCGGAATATCCCAGTGCTTTCTTTCAAAGTCTTCTGCCAAAATTACCCATCTCACTGATTTTCTTTCACCCTATGATTCTATTATTATTTTTATATTTACTTTTACATTAAATGGTTCTTTTGTTATATAAAGTCTAAAAAGTAACTCATTATTTATAATAGTATGAATCAACTATAAATTTTATATTGCTGTATGATTGAGTATCAATCATCAATATCAATAATATGATATATCTTGTGTGAGTAAAATTTTGGTAAAAAAATACATATTTGGTTTTTAATTTTATATTAAATTTTATTTGAGTCCCTTAATTTTATAAACTCTCTTTTCAATTCTCTCTAATTAGTTTTATTAACAAAAAAATGTCACATTAAGTTACTGAATATTGACAAAACTTTTTTAAACGTTGACATATTATGTTTAATTTTTTAAAATAAAAAATATTAACACAAAAATCATCCTTTGAGATTAATAATGTTAAAGTTGGAGGACTAATTAATTTATAAAATTAAAAAATTAAAATAAAATTATATATAAAATTAGAGGCACAAGTAGTGGCAGAGCCACGTACCTGTGAGCGGGGCAAATGCACCCCCTCACATGAAAAAAATTGCATATGTAATATGAAAAATTTATAATTTTACACTCTATATTTTTAGCTTTTTGAACTTTCTAGACTTAATAAAAAATATTTGGGGGTCTAAATTTAAACTCCATGTCAACCTTCTTAATATATTTTTAGTAAAAAAATCTCAATATATTTTGTCCAAATAAAAATGTGTATAATTTTACTTATGTTATTATATTTTTTGCCTAATGTAATTAATTTTAAAAAATTAGAATATTATTTTTTAATTATTTTTTTAAATTGTATTGTCCTGCATCTCTTGATTCAAGATCTTGGCTCTACCACTAGGCATAGATATGCACTTTTGCCCAAAATTTTCCATGTTGCCTTTACGCTTAAGTTAGAAATTTATTTAAGAAACTATTCTGTCTAATCTTATTTATAGGTTACTTCTAATATATTTCAATAAGAAAAATTTTAAAAATTATTAACTCTATCTAAAATTTTAATAATATTTTAATTTTACCTTTATTTAATATATATATATATATATATATTAATAATGTATTTTCTCTCTCCTAACATTTTGAAAGTAAAAAAGGAACTTATGAGTCATGATAAAAAGTTAACAGCATGTCTTGTAAATGAGAAAAAAATCATTTTTTTCTTGTCTCGTAAATGAAACTAGAGGAACATTTTTTTCTTGTCTCATAAATGAAACCAGAGGAATATATTAAGTGTCTGATCCAAAATGTGGAAAATTATTCAAAAATTAAAAGGATATTTCGTAATTGTTTTTTGAAAAAAGGAAGCACATATATATACATATAGACACATGCACGCTCAAAAGCATACATGGTGTGGTTGGTAACTCGAGGATCATAATCATGCCTCATTGGAAACTTTGTTGTTTCACGCCAAAGTATGCTTCATGTTTATTATGATTATGTTTTGCGTAATAATGGTAATGGGGAAACATATTGTTATTACTATATGCATGCATATAGCCTGATTTCATTATGGCTGTCGAAGTTCGCATGGTTTGTAAGTAACTCCTTTTTCTTTTTTTTTTTTTTGGAGTCAATAGATTGGTTTGTAGCATTCAACTCATCTCTTTAGTGAATATGAATAATTTTATTTTTTTTTGCCACAAATTTGAATATTTTTTATTGACAAAACCAACATATGTAAATAATTACTCTTGACTGGCTGAAGAAGAAATTCATAAAGATTGGTATAGTTCATCATTTTTAAATCTCAGTTATATATAAAATTCCACTAAAATTTGAGCCATGTATAAATAACTTATCTAACCTTTAAAATTTTGATGACAATTTTCATACAAGTTTTTGAATTAGTGCAATTAACCCTGTGCTATTAATTAATTAGTCTGTTATTCTAACAAAACATGACATTTTTTATATATTAACCATATTCCATATATGCACTTTAGTTAAGTTTAAAAAATAGGGATAATGAAACATTCAATCCCTCAAATTTATCTCAATTACTAATTTAGTTATTAAAATTATATATTTATCAATCAAGTCCCTAAAATTCATAACTACACACAAATGGTTAATCCTTATGGTTAGAATAAGAAAAAAAAACTAATTTGTAGGTCTTTGTAGTCTTATTCAATTTTAAATTAGGTTTCTATAACTTATTTTATTTTAATCAAGTCTTTATAATTTGATCTATAATACTCCTTCTATTTAAAAATGTAAGGCATTTTTAACTGAATCTCACTTCCCAATAAAATAATTACCTAGTTTTAAACTAACCCTATCTTTTTATATTTACTTCTATTAAATACCCTATAATAAATATAAATTCATTGTCAATAGGGGCACTTTTAAAAAAAGACAATGATTATATCTTCAAAGATTAAAAATATTTTATATTTTTTTAATATCTAACTTTTTAAAAAATATCTTACATTTTTAAATGACGGGAGTATATATTAACTCCTAAAGACTAAAATTAATAATGAATTATTAAATTTCACAAAACAAGAATATTCTTGGAGTTCATAAAAAAAGTTAATTTAATATTTTTAGCTGAAATTGAAAAAAATAATATTTGATTTAGTACACTATTTTTATTTTTATAATTTTTATAAAAAATATATATGTAAAAAAATATTTAGGAGACAACATAATTATATAAGTTTTGAGTTAAAAAATTATGTAATTAATTATCAAGTTATATAATCATTTAATAAAAATATAAAAGCTCTTAATTTTGTTCTTTTAAAGGAAAAATTTTAAGATTTTAATCTTCAAGGATTAAAAAATTTAATTGATCAAACTATAAGAGTTTAATTAAAATAAAATAAATTACAGGGACTTAATTTAAAATGAAATAAAACTATAAAGATCTATAAATATATTTTTTCAAAAAATAATTATGTATGGCTATAAAACTTTAAGGCCTAGATTGATAAGTATCAAACTTTTAAAGACTAATAAATTGATAATACAAAATGGTGAAATTAAAATTTTCATTATCCCAATAAACTATATAAGCATAACATCAAACTCGAGAGATTATATGTATAACGATGCCTTGTAAACCTAAGATTCCTATAGGTATAAGACTATGAGCTTAGAGGGCATTTGAATGAAGTTTGTGTGAGCCACGAGATGATCCACTAGAGATAGTTGAAGTCTTGTGAACAGAAAAATTCCTTGAATGCAAAAAGAAAAAAATTAAATACACAAAATAAATTAGCACAATTGAAAGAAGATTGGAGCCTAGTGCTATACGTAAATTAGGCAGGATCTCACTATGTTCATTCATATCACAAAATGGTCCTTCTGGTGGATTCCTGAGCCATTCTGCACTATAAATCCACTATACAGCTCCCAAAGGCAAATTTGACTTTTTGTTTCGTTGTATAGTTACTCTCCAAGTCACTGTCGTCTTGCTTAAAACGAACGCACGCACGCACACATATATGTGCTTGTATTGTTCTCAATGCTCCGATACAGGCCATACGAAGTTGGAAGGGATGCGCGGAGCAATTTCGCTGGCAAGAATTTGATCATGAAGCTGATTTTTTTTTTTTTTTTTTGTTAGAAAATGACTATTTTTTTTTATTATTATTCTGTCACTTTTTTGGGCCTAAGTAGAAAATGATTAGTTTGATTGTGTACGTACAAGATCGTGTTTGGAAGTTTTGAAACTTAAAATGGAATGATTATAGAGGTCTAGTATCTTGTAATGTAACTCGTAAATTTGCAAATTATTTTTTATGTCCTTGAGCAGCAAAATTATTTATCAATGATTCAATGTTTTATGATAAAATAATTCGTACATTTCATTTTAATAAGAAATATATTTAATTCATTTAATTTATATTGTAATATATGTATCTTTAACTTGATAGAATTTAGACAATTTTAAATTTAAAAAATTATTTAAATGCCAGCGATTATTATTCATACTATCACTAATATTCAATTTCAAAAAAAAAATCTTGAAACAAATGTCTAATTTATAACTAAAATTTTTATTAAAATATATTTAGATGTTTATCATTCACTTTTCATTAAATGTATGCTATGTGTATATTTTAATAATTATTTTGTGAAGAAACAAAGTCATTTTTTTCATACTATTATTTGCATTACAAAGTAAAATTCAATACTATAACTTAAACGAAGCTTGTAATTTATGTGAGAACCTAAGCAATAGCCTTAATAAGTGTTGGCGGGGATGGTTATATGAAGAACAAAAGAAATAGAAATGAAAAATAAAGTTGTGCCTGATATCTTCAAGATATGGATAGCACTTTTTTTCAGGTTTAATTTAGGCCCATCTATTCTAGTCTTTCTGTGCAAGTTGGGTTGATGGTGAAATTCTTTCAAGATATAATAAAGACTCTTAAGTATGTTTTATACTACTAAGACTTAGGTCAAGACAACAATAATTTTTATAAAGAGATAATTTGATTTTATCTCTAATGCATTTAAAGAATAAAGGCAATGTGAGTTTCAATAATTAAATGCTTTTGGATGTACCAAATGACTGATGATGGTGATACGTGTTTATAGATACTGAAGTGATATCTTGAAATAATACTTTTTTTAAGTAATAAAGCTCTCTTTAAAAATTATAACTAATACTGATTCATAACTTTTACATTAGTTCATAAATAATTTTATGTTAATTCATAAACATCCCTATGTTAGTGCTCACTAGCGTACCTAGGATTTTTGGCAAGGGCAAGATATTATTTAAATATTAAATAATTATTTTTAATTATACATATATAAATTTATATATATGTAAATAAATTACTCCCTCCGTTTAG